AATAATCCAGTCGCCTTAGGCAATTTCCTCTTTGGCTAAACCTAAATCAACGCAGCAGAGGAAAAGTTACTATCTGAGTCCTGGGAAATCATAAATCTAGATACGATTTAGTTAGAAATAATTAAAACATCCATGCATTTTTTAAATTAAAAAAATCATTCCATGAAGTGTTATTTACATAGCTTTCAATTTATTTCACTAATCATATATGTGTTCCCCATTCCCTTAAATAAAGCAGCCACCCCTCCCCCATTTATGCAGATATCAAGACAATCTATAGGAGGGTAATGTCTGCTTCTTGATCTTTCACCAATGTTTGCTCCTGCTGACCATGGAATCCTCAGGCACTGGCTCTCTGGGTGGGTAGGGGGGTCACTGTTCTGCATGGGTCTTGCTCCTTCCTACAGGGTCGTGTCCAGAGAGTAGCGCTGGGGGAATCGTGTTTTGGTTCCACAGTCTTCACTTCACACTGCTGTGTACCACAAGGTACCACCTTGCCCCCAGTTCTGGTTAACTTCTATGAAACCACTGAGTGTGGTCATTCAGTATTTTGTGGCAGAGTGTCATCTGTTGAATGGATGACACCCAGCTCTGCTTCTCCAAGTGTCTGCATCAGGAGAGAACTGTAGTCTGTGTGCAGAGGTGGAGTGGATGAGGCCCAATAAGCTGAGCCTGAGCCCTGGGAAGATTGGAAGCGCTGTGGGTTGGTTGTTTCTGTGTCCAGTAGTTTATCTAGAGGAGTTTATCATAGAGGAGGGAGAAAGGTTGTTTTCTGCTGCTCCAGAGAAGCGGACACGGAGCAATGGATCCAAACTACAAGAAAGAAGATTCCACCTCAACATTAGGAAGAACTTCCTGACAGTAAGAGCTGTTCGACAGTGGAATTTGCTGCCAAGGAGTGTGGTGGAGTCTCCTTCTTTGGAGGTCTTTAAGCAGAGGCTTGACAACCATATGTCAGGAGTGCTCTGATGGTGTTTCCTGCTTGGCAGGGGGTTGGACTCGATGGCCCTTGTGGTCTCTTCCAACTCTATGATTCTATGATTCTATGATCTGCTTGCCTGTTCTAGTTGGGGTTAGGAGTTTGGAGGGTTCTCTTGGCTCCATCTTTGTTGCTGGAGGCTCAGCTATGGCTGGTACTCTAACTGAGGCCATGATTGGACAGGGATAGTTTGACCATGACAGTTCATGCATTGGTAACCTCATGACTCCTATTATTGCAAAGCACTGATCTGGAGGTTTCAGCAGGTGCAAAATGCCACCACAAAACTGGGGATAGACCTATTGTTGACACATGACTCTGGTTCTCAAAAGCTTTCCCTGGCTGCACATCCTCTGCTGGGCCTGGTTCAAGACTCTTGCATGAACCTTGTCTTGTAATTCTTACAACAACCCAATGGGGTAGGAAAATACTATTCTCCCCATATTACATAAGGTGAAGGAGCACTGAGGGTGAGGGAGGCCTTGCTTGGTGCTGCTTAGTGAATGTCACAGTTTCCATTCAAACAGGGGACTTTTCCAGTGTGCACCCTGGTCTCTTAATTGCTCTACTAACTCTAACTTTCTCTGGGGCCCTAATACAATAGTTGGTCATAGTGGGGAGACTTTGTTGGCAAACCCTATATTAAATAAAGCCATTTCCCCATGATTGAAATACGTATATGCTGTTTTCTTACAGAATCTTGGTTAAGACCAGGTCAATATTGTATTAATTCAAGCTTGGTGCTGCATCTGAGAAGTTATTGGAGTAAATTCAATTTGTGTTTCTCAGCTCTGATTCAGGAGCTACCTCCTATTGTTCTTAAGGGTGGGAGCGGAAAAGCCATAATAACTGTGGGGACTTTTTCTTGTTTATAAGAGCTTTCTGTAGGGTTTGCATTAGGGCAACAACGTGCAACATCTCTCGCTCAGTACAGAGGGACATCAGAAGTTGCTTTGTACAGAGTCAGACTTTCGATCCATCTAGTTCACTATTGTCTAGAGTCTAGAATGAGGCCCCCTCTGCACTATACATTTGAAGGAGCATCTAGCCTCTAAATAGTAATGGCTCCCCCCCCAAAAAAGAATTCTGTGAACTGTAGTTTGTGTGTGCTTTGATATCCACAACAGCTGTCACTGGCTACTAGCCATGGTGTTTATGCGCTGCCTCCATGGTCAGAGGCAGCAATGCTTCTGAACTGCTGGCAGCCACAGGAGGGGAGAAAAGGGCTCTTGTGCTCTGTTCAAGGTTTCCCATGGGCATCTGGTTGGCAACTGTGAGAATGGGATGCTGAACTAGATGAACCCCTGGCCTGATCCAGGAGACTTTTCTTACATTCTCAGGCACCCTCTGCTACCTCACTCTGCCTGAAGGTAGGGTTGGGTCTGGTCAAGAATTGGGGGCACAGCTCAGTTGCTGCAACCACGGCTGCTGCTTGTTGTGACCCATCCACACTCTGCTGCAGTCATTGGCAGGGATGCAGGTGTGCATTGGTGTGACCTTTCCTTGCTTCAGAAAAACAGACGTCTGCTTCAGTGTTTGTGGACAAGCAAGTACGGAGGAAAAACACTGCTTTCTTTTTAAGACCCAGAGAAAGGCTTATGGAGAAAATACTCTTCCTTAGCTTTGTAGCAGCAGATTGGAAGCCTCAACCGTGTGCGATTGTTCCACTGGGTCAGGCACTCTGGAAGCTAATTGGGGCTCCCAAAGCCCTTCCAAACTGAGTGCAATGCATTTAGACAAATGTGCTTATTAAAACAGATGCAGGGAGGGTGCAAAGCTTTATGGCTCATGGATTCAGTTCACCACCTGCTTACCTCCTGTAGTAGATGAGTTTTGGTAAGAAAAAAAGTAGCCGGAAGGAATATTTTGGGGAAGAGGGTGAGGTAGGTAGCTGGTTATTATAGTTTTGCCATGTTTTGATAGGAATTATGATGTGTTCTAATCCCTGTTACCTGTGGACAGCTTGGTCAGGCAATGAGGTCTAGTCACTTCCCATGTTCACGTGCAGATTTGAAACTGGAGGCCCCTCTTCCATCAAAGCCCAAAGGGGCATGTGCAGCCTTATATTGGCAGTAATGGTAGTTCAGTCTTGCTGTCATTTTGGAGGGGCCTGGGACCCTCTAACATCCTGTGTCAGCCAGATGTTTGACATTGTTTTGGGAAATTTCTCCTAAATGGATCAAGTGCAGATCCCTTCAGTACAACAGAACAAAAATAGTTGCAAGAAACATGCACATGTGCCAGGTTTTCAGCTCATTCCATCTGTATGAATGATCCTATCTGAACTGGGAACTGGAAAGTCTGCACTTGAAATGAAAGAAATTGACATTGCTAAAATGCAGGGGAAGAGATGGGAAGACAGCCAATTAAATAAATGAACAATTTCCCCCAACTCTGTCCGTGCTTTTTAAATTGACACCTGCACTTCTCAAACTCATTAAAACAAAAATCTCATGGTTTGATGACTCAGTACTTATTAACCATTTCAGTGGGTATTTGGGGTGGGGCAGATTGGGAGCCCCACTATTAATGCACTGGTTTAATGCTTGCCAAAACCCCAGTGAGCAGTGGGAAGTGAGATTAGCCTTAAGCAGGTCACACTCTCATTCCCTACTCTCCCAGTCTGCAATTATGGGATGCGAATAATATGCACCTACCACGCAAGGTTGTTGTAAGGATTACAGCAGAATGTAGGTGAGGTGTACTGTACAGATGTCAGCTGGCTGTTGAGGCACTGATTAAAAGGAGTGCCAAGATTTAGAGCAATACATTCTGAATATTTTATTTGCAACTCACCTGCCGTTTTGCTTTGCTTCGTCTGTCCCTGTTATTGTCTGTGTCATCTTCTTAAACGATGGAGTGTTTTATGTTGAAATATTTGTGGTCAATCCACCATGGAGCGCGGTGCTGCTGGGAATGTGGGGAATGCTGATGATGGCTTGGAAACTACAGTTAGAAGGGAAATATCAGTGGCTAGATTGCTAACTGCAACTACATGTTAGAACCATGTCTCACTACAGTTGTACCTTGGATCCCGAACACCCTGGAATTCAGAGGTTTTGGCTCCCGAATGCCCCAAACCCAGAAGTGATCATTCCGGTTTGCAAATGTTCTTTTGGAGCCTGAACGTGCGGCAGGGCTTCCAGGGCTTCCAATTGGCTGCAGGAGCTTCCTGCAGCCAATCAGAAGCTGCAATTTGGTTTTCGAACATTTTGGAAGTTGAATGGACTTCTGGAATGGATTCCATTTGACTTCCAAGGTACGACTATAGTGTTAAAGGACTTTCCCGAGCTGTTGTGGATTCCTGGCACCTAATTCAAGGTACTGGGCTATCTTTTTTTTTTTTAAAGCCCAAACACAGCTTGAGACCCAGTTCCATATCAGACTGTCTGGCCCACCTGCTGAGGCTCCTTGCAGATACTGTTCTGGCATGTCCCCACCATCAGAAGTGAGGCAAGTGGTGGCCAGGGAGGGGGCATTTTTGCTAGGGTGCTAAGCCTGTGCAACTCCTTTCCCAGGGAGGCTGCCTGATACCACCTGTGATACCCACATTGCCTGCCTCCTCCTCTTCACCACTCCCTTCATCATGAGGTGGCAAGAGTGGTTTTCCCCTTTCCCTTGAAGAACAGAGAGGTTGAAGAGGAAGTTGGAAGAGCTTTCCCACTTCCAGCTCTTTGTGCTTTTCAGGGCTCCCATTGGCACCTTAGAAGCTGAACAGGAAGTGAAGCAACTGTGAGTCCCGGGGGGAAATTGGGAGAACTTGGCATCTGGGGCAAGAGCTCACAGTTTTTAGCAGGGTTCCCTACTCTGCAATTTTCTTCTATTTAGTGGATGTGTTTTACTTTTGATGGTGGTTGTGATGTGAACACAGACCCTCCTGAAATCAAATTTGATGTAGGATGGTGTGCACATTTTAAAAACACATTTTTAAAAAGGTTTTGAATAATTCATAGAAATAACTCACAGTTGGGAGGCACCCTGAGGATCATCTAGTCCAACCTCCTGCGATGCAGGAATATGCAGTTATCCTGTATGGGGATCAAACCTGTGACTTAGGCGTTATCAGTCCCCTGCTCTAACCAACTGAGCCATAATGGGGAGGATAACCAAAACTCTGCACCTTATGAAACGGCTGACAAGGCCTGGTCTGTTAGCCCTTTGCGAGGGCTGTGGGGAATCCAGTGCCTATGAACTCAACTTAATCTGTGCTCTTCCCAAGCTCCGTTTAGACTTAAGCCCCAAAGAATGAATTCTGTCTGGCTCCACTGACTTGTGCAAGATTGAACTGTGTGAGCCATCATTAGAATGATGTGGGGGCTTACTGAAGCGGAAGTGAGATAGCTGGGGTCTCTGCTGAGCACCTCTTCAGGGAGCGCATTTGCTGTTCAGTGTGGTGAGAGCATAGGCAGGCAAGGAGGCACTCGCTTCTGGCGCTCAGAGCTCGCTGGTAGCCCATTCCAACCCTCTGATAACATGCTCCATTTAATACTGTTACTCTCCTATCTGGTTCTGGGACCGATAAATAAGCTTCTGACAATGAAACATGAATACATGGAAACCACTCTGAAACCAGCTCCATGCCTGAAACAAAAAGGCTTTATGAAGGCCAGAAAGTGGATATCTCACTGGTAGAGAGAATTCCACAAACATGGGATGACCCAAACATGTGGCAACTGTTTGTAAGCCACTTTGGGATTAATGAGGGATCAGACACAAACAGTGAGGTTTGGGCCTATTACATCTACCTCCCTGAAGCTCAGCACTGGCACCCCACAGGGAGGTGTGCTGAGTCCCTGCCTGTACTTGTTGTATACATGTATGCTGTATTTCATCTGATCCATCCACTGTAATTATTAAGTTTGCAGATGATACTATCATAATGGTTCTAATTACAGGTGGAGATGAATCAGCGTACAGGGGGGAGGTTCAGAAAGTATCTACATGGTGCTTAGAGAATAACTTGCACCTAAATATTACCAAGAAAGGAGATGGTGTTGTACTTTCGGAGGAAGAGAGGGGAACTAGCCCCGTTGTATATCAGGGGGTGTTGTGTGGAGAGAGTCTCTTTCTTTAAATTCCTGGGAGTTTACCTTAGTGAAGACCTCACTTGGAAAAACAATACACCGTATTTTTCGCTCTATAAGACGCACCTGACCATAAGATGCACCTAGTTTTTAGAGGAGGAAAACAAGAAAAGCCAGCAAAAGCCACAGACACGCTCGCTCTGCGCGGCTCTTTAAAGATAGAGCGGCTCTTGCTGGCTTTTCCAGGAGGAGGGACTGACGGGCTGCCCTCCATCCCTTCTCCCACCTCCCTGAAAAGCCAGAGATAACTGCGCAGCCTGCATTCGCTCCTTAAGACGCACACACATTTCCCCTTACTTTTTAGGAGGAAAAAAGTGTGTCTTATGGAGCGAAAAATACGGTAACTCAGGTGGTTAGGAAGGCCCAACAGAGACTCCATTTCCTCAGGGTCTTGCAAAAGAACAATGTTAAACAACAACTGATGGCCTCCTTCTACCGGTCTACAATAGAAAGTGTCCTCTCATATTATATCACAGTGTGGTACGTTGGCTTGACAGCCATGGACAGGAAGTCCCTACAGAGGGTGGTGAACACAGCACCTGATATCATGGGCCGTCCCCTGAGCCTGCTAGATGACTTCGTAAGGGATTGTTGCCTTAGGAGAGCGAGAAAAATTCTCAGAGACGAGTCACACCCTGGCCGGTACCTCTTTAATCTTCTATCCTTGGACAGGAGATATAGAAGTATAATCAGTTGTACCAACAGGCTAAAAAACAGTTTCTATCTGTGGGCTGTTAGTCTGCTGAACTGAAAATAATATGGTGCAACTGACTTTCAGGGTTGGTGTGTTGTGTGACAAGCACACAGAGTGCAATGAGATTGAGCGTTTGTGGGGGGGAGGCTCGGTTAATTTCATTGTACACGGGTTGTACATTGACAATAAAGGTATTAGCATCATCATCATCATCATCATTTGAATGAAATATGGCATAGAAATATAATCAATCAATCTCCACTTAAAATAACTTAAGAAGAGCCTGGCAGCTGACTCAGGCCAAAGGCCCATCCGGCCCAACACCCAGCTTCGCACAGAGACCCACCAAATGCCGCCATGGGAAGCCTGAAGAAGGACTTCGGTGCAACAGCAGAACTTTCCCTGCTTGTGATTCCCAGCAACTGGCATTCAGCAGCATGCTGCCTCCAGCAGTGGAAGGGGGTCAGGGCCATCATGGCTAGCAGCCATAATAAAACATAATGAAAATATACCGTATTTTTCACTCGATAACACGCACCTGACCATAACACGCACATAGTTTTTAGAGGAGGAAAACAAGAAAAAAAAAATCTGAATGAAACAGTGGATGTATCATTTTTGTGCTTCATGCTGTGGCCACAGACATGTGATTTGACGGTGAGTTTGGGGTAGCCCAATGCAAAAATCCTGAGAATCCATGTGGATCTGTGCTTTGTAACCACGTTTTGCACCATTGCAGCCCCAGGCAACAGTGGGTGCGTGATTTTTTTGGTGCAGGCTGTAGCCATGGACATGCTATGTGATCTGATGGTGAATTTGGGGTGACCCAATGCAAAGATCCTGAGGATCCATTTGGATCCGTGCTTTGTAACCATGTTTTAAGTGGGGAGGGAAGGGAAAACATAGAAGGGACAAGGAGCACGAGAGGGGTGTGCGGAGAAGCAGCTGGCTAAGAATGCAGGAGAGGGATTTAATGGGAGGGAGGAAAGGAAGGCAAAATTCCCCTCCCACCTGCATGTTTTCCGGCTGCCTGGAATTCTTCCCTGGACGCAGCAGCAGCAGCACCGGAGCACGGAGAGGAATTAGAAGGAAGGACGCGATCCTTTCCTTTCCCCTCTGCTTGCCAGGAGGGGAGGGGAGGGGATTTGCCTGCTCTTTGTTCTGTTTGAGCAAACAGCAACCGAAACAGGAGAGGGTGGGCAGTAAGACCCTGAGGCAGAATGCAGGAAAGCACAGCTTCCTCTTTTCAGGTTTCCCTCTTCCCATGACGGCGTGATATGATTTTTGCCTGATTTTTGCCCCTGCGCTCGGGACAGTCGGCTCCAGGGACCACACATTCACTCAATAACACACACAGACATTTCCCCTTACTTTTTAGGAGAAAAAATGTGAGTGTTATAGATGGGGGAAATACGGTATTTGGAACATCTTAAAAACAATTCCAGTCCAGAGGCAGACCTGGAAAGATCTCAACTTAAAAGGCTCACTGGAAGAGGAAGGTCTTCAGTAGGTGTGGAGAAGATGGCAGAGGTACTGCCTGCTTATTATCTTACGGGAGGGAATCCCAAAGGGCAGATGCCACAACACCAAAGGCCCAATTCCTATGTTGTGTGGAAGGGGCCTCCTGAGAAGACTCAGAGCGCAGTGATCGACTGGGTCTATCAGGGGTGAGACAATCTGGATTTCAGATTTTTACGTGTTTTAATTGCATAGAGATATTACTGTAAACCACTTCAGTATTATTATTATTTTATAATATAGCAGTCTTTAATATTTTTTTTTATAAATAAAATATGGTTTCAGATGTCCTGGTCCCAATCTGTTTCTACACCAAACGAACACCTTGAACTTACCCCAGCAGCTAATTGGCAGCCACTGCAATTAGTCTTAACTCCATCAGGATCCTTTCCATACAAATAAGTTTTTTTTCTATTGCGTTTCAAAGAAATGCTGGCATTTGGAGGCTGCTTTGGGGGAACTATTTGCCCATCTCACTATTGAGGACCTCAGCTGATAACAGCTGTCCATCGCTGGCATGGGTCCTTAAAAATAATCAAATATTTGTCAGCATAATACAAGTCCAGATCTCTGCAGTTGTAAAGTTTACCCTTGCCTTGTGCCTGATAGATTTAGAATCATCGAATCATAGAATCATAGAGTTGGAAGAGACCACAAGGGCCATCGAGTCCAACCCCCTGCCAAGATTTACTTGTTATTCTCTCTTGGACTCCATGCTGCTAAAAAGCCTTAAAAATGAAGCTTGCTCAGTTGTCTTGGGAAGGGGAATAGTGTTTGAGTGTTTATGAAAAAGGAAGTTGATAATTTGAGGAGTGGAAAATGCTCTCCAAACTCCTGTTACGTGGCCATAAAGATGCACGAGAAGCAGGAACATGGGAGCACCCCCATTTTTTACGAGGATGAATAACTCTCTCAGGTTAGCTTAAGGGGTGAGGGTGCTCAAAAGTGTTTTCTCCTAGCATATGGGTTGCCCAATCTTTTGTGTCTTCATGACTTTGTAATTATGTGAAAACCGAGGTGGCTGTTAACCTCTGCTTCTGTTGTCACGCCCAGTTGGCCCAAAGGAAACAATCATAGCTTGTTTAGTTGCAGCTCTTTTTGAGGGGCGGGGGAGAAATAAATGCTGCTTCAAGGTTATGCAAATTAATTTCCCCTCACTGCATCTTGTGTGCATCCAGAAAATATATTTCCCTGTTTTATTGGTCTTTGTTGTAATAAATAAGCCCAGGAAGCCTTATTTATATATTCAGGGCCTATAAATATAGATCTGGTGGAAGCAAAATGCTCACCAAGCCAAGTGTCCCCGTTGAGAAATTTATGAGAATAGCATTTCAGGGTGATTCTTCTGTGCAGACAAGGCAGCACAAGTCTGGACAAACCCACAAGGGAAGAGGGTCTTGGGGGAAGATCTTGAAGGGGAGAGGACAATTCCTGGATTTGGGGCATGGATTTGGGGCAGTGTGGCCCCTGCTCTTGGAAGCACCTTGATGTGAAAACCAAGCACTTGAAAACCCCAGGTTCAGTTTCTGTCATCTCCCAGTTCAGAATGGAAGAGACCCATCCAAAACCTTGGAAAGGAGCACACAGGACCAGGTGCCCTGACTCTGTTGTGCCTATATCTCTTGCTGCCTTTCACTGGGATTGTGGGCTCTTTGTGTCCCTCAGAGGCCCTCTTTCTGCTGGTGCTGAGCTTAACCTCTGGAGAAGAGAGAAATCCCTCCCCAGATACTGGAGGAGAGTCTGGTGGCAAAACCTTTACAGCAGGAAAAGGGCTCGCCAATTAGGAAAGGTCACCATCTTGTGTACCGTTGGGGTTGGGAAGGGAAAGGTGAGCAAAGCCCCAGGGCCCGACCTGATCCCTGCTGAAGCCATCAAACTACACCCAAAATGGTGGGCTGGCATCTTGGCCAAAACCTTCGACGCAATCAACGCTTCTGGTATCATCCCCAAAATATGGAAGGAGGCCATTATAGTACCAATTCATAAAAAGGTTCTCCAATGGAGCCGGAAAATTACCGTAACATCAGCCTCCTTTCGATCATAGGGAAAATTTATGCCAGCTTTTTGCTGACGAAACTATCGCGATGGGTAGATGAGACTAACCAGATTGGCCACGAACAAGCAGGGTTCAGAATTAAACGCTCTACAACTGATCATGCGATAGTTCTTTACCATCTGGCACGGAAGTACTCCTCCCTCCCCGGGGCTATCTGTGTGCTGCCTTCTTAGATCTTAAGGCAGCCTTCGACAGCGTTCCTAGAAATATTCTTTGGGAGAAACTTGCGAAACAGGGCATCGATAGAAGGCTCTTATGGCTTATAAGTCAGCTCCACGAAGGTACCCTTGCCAGAGTGAGACTTACTCCTGCGGGCGACCTCACAAATTCGATACCAATAAACAAGGGAGTGCGCCAAGGATGTATATTGGCCCCCTGCCTATTCAATCTATTCATCAGCGACATGCGAGCATCCCTAGTCAACTCATCTCCAAGTACACATGCGCCTAGACTAGCGGATTACCGCTGTCCACTCCTTTTATATGCGGACGACGCGGTAATTCTATCTTATACACGTGTTGGACTAACCAGAGCTCTGAAGATCTTTGCCACGTATTGTCAACTCAACCAATTAACCATCAATCATGCTAAATCTAAGATTCTGATTTTCGCCAGAAGTCGGAGATTATACGAATGGAAGCTTGGTGGAGCAAAAATAGAGCAAGTCCTAAAATTTCAATACCTAGGAGTTATTTTTCAATACAATTTGGGGTGGAAAGCACATATTCAACACCTACTTAATAAGGCCAAAACTCTGTCATATGCGCTCCCCCGACTTGTCCTTTCGGAAGGAGCTTTGCATGGTCCTTCGGCCCTACAGGCGATCAAGGCAAAAGTGGTGCCCGTGCTTGCTTATGCTGCCCCGCTCTGGGACGTGATGACAGACCTTGCTCCTCTCGAGACATTGCAAAACCAATTCCTACGTCGGCTCCTAATGCTCCCCTGTGCGTAAGCAACGCAGCCATGCGTTTAGAATTGAGGATCGCATCCTTAGAAACCTGCCTGTGGAAGCAAGTCTTCAATTATTGGTTATCATTGTGGCATAGATTACCAGACCATTACCTTGCCCAATGCTTATGGCGAGATGAATTCCCCAGCCTTTGGACCAGTAGAATTCATGCCAAACTCCTGAGCTATGGAATCTCTCCCTTAGATTCCCTAAAACTAGATCAAATCACTGCTCAAAGACTGATCCGCCAAAGACTGGATGACATCGATTTACAGCAAAATTATATGCTGGGGGGAGGTGTTTGTTCGCCCCAGAACATTGGTATCACTTTAACTTATTGCGTTCCATCATACCTCTCCTCCCTTTCGACTGTTGCCCATAGGCTGGCCTTCACCAAAGCGAGGTTTAATGTTTTTCCTCCAATGTCCTGAGACATAGATTCTCAAAGGGCCAAACCTCCGCCATGTGCGAATGTGATAAGGAGATGCCGGAGTCGCTTCAGCACATTATGTTCACTTGCCCCTTATTTAAGGTGCCACGGGCAAACTTGTTGGGATCAATCATACAGAAATTAGAGGGTACTCCACCAAAATTCCACCTTGCCCAAATCTTGCAGGATAAGGATGCCCATACGACCCTGAAAGTGGCTAGGTTCCTGGTCGCTGTCCTTACCCAAAAGCGTCGCCAAGGAGCACCACAAGCTAATTAAGGCGTAGTATGCCATTCCATCTTATAGTAGCTTATTGTTATAGTATTGTTTTAGCGGCTTTTTTTTCCCATGTGCACAGGCTGTTATTTATGTCTTGTTTTTATCTGTATGGGCCTACGGCCGTAATAAATTATTATTATTATTATTAAGGTGAGCAAGATAGGATGTGACAGAAGTGTGCAAAATTGGGCAGGGGGTGGACAAAGAGAACAGGGAGAAAAGTTTCATTGGTCACCCAATGAAGCTGAAAGTCGGAAGATGCAGGGCAGACAAAAGAAAGGACACAGTGAAGAATTAAACTATGGCGCCCGTTCCTAGAGGAGGCGGTGATTGCAACCTGGATGCCTTCAGCATTAGACAAGTTGATGGAGGAGGATAATGCTATTTTGGTCACTAGGCATGAGGGAGGGCTATAAGATACCTTATAAGATATAATATATAATATAAGATATAATAATCTCCAAGGGGTATACAAGAAATACAATGCAGAAGAGATAAAGATCAGTCAGAACAATAAAATCAGGCTTCAATTAAAAGGCCTGCGCGAATGCAGCGGTGGAGCTTCATGCTCTGGCACCAGGGACGGAGAGCAGGCGGGGGCGGGGTGTGCCGCCTGTGGGGGCAGGGCGCCCAGTGCGGGCAGGGGGGCCAGCCATGATGTCACCCTGGGGATCGCGATGCCGGGGGCGGTGCACCCCCTCCCCCCGCACTCCTCTTACCCCACCGGTGCAAGGAAGGAGAGTCCACCACCTCCTGAGGGAGACTGTCCCACTGTCAAGCAGTTCTTACTGTTAAAAAGTTCTTCCTGATGTTGAGTCAGAATCTCCTTTTTTGTAACTTGAATCCATTGGTCCTACCCTCCAGAGCAGGAGAAAACAAGCATGCTTCCTCTTCCATGTGACAGCCCTTAAGATATTTGAAGATGTCTATTCTATCTCCTCTCAGTCCCCTCTTTTCCAAGCTAAACATACCCAGATCCTTCAACCGCTCCTCATAAGGCTGTTTCCAGACCCTTGATCATCTTGGTTGTTCTCCTCTGCACATGTTCCAGCTTGTCAACATCCTTTTTGGATGTTTGGAAAAGGACAGAGGATTCCAGATGTCGTCTGACCAAGGAAGAACAGAGTAATTACATCTTTTGATCTTGGCGCTATACTTAATCATAGAATCATAGAGTTGGAAGAGACCACAAGGGCCATCGAGTCCAACCCCCTGCCAAGCAGGAAACACCATCAGAGCACTCCTGACATATGGTTGTCAAGCCTCTGCTTAAAGACCTCCAAAGAAGGAGACTCCACCACACTCCTTGGCAGCAAATTCCACTGTCGAACAGCTCTTACTGTCAGGAAGTTCTTCCTAATGTTTAGGGGGAATCTTCTTTCTTGTAGTTTGGATCCATTGCTCCGTGTCCGCTTCTCTGGAGCAGCAGAAAACAACCTTTCTCCCTCCTCTATGTGACATCTTTTTATATATTTGAACATGGCTATCATATCACCCCTTAACCTCCTCTTCTCCAGGCTAAACATGCCCAGCTCCTTAGCCGTTCCTCATAAGGCATCGTTTCCAGGCCTTTGACCATTTTGGTTGCCCTCCTCTGGACACGTTCCAGTTTGTCAGTGTCCTTCTTGAACTGTGGTGCCCAGAACTGGACACAGTACTCCAGGTGAGGTCTGACCAGAGCAGAATACAGTGGCACTATTACTTCCCTTGATCTAGATGCTATACTCCTATTGATGCAGCCCAGAATTCCATTGGCTTTTTAGCTGCCGCGTCACACTGTTGGCTCATGTCAAGTTTGTGGTCAACCAAGACTCCTAGATCCTTTTCACATGTACTGCTCTCAAGCCAGGTGTCCCCATCTTGTATTTGTGCCTCTCATTTTTTTGCCCAAGTGCAATACTTTACATTTCTCCCTGTTAAAATTCATCTTGTTTGTTTTGGCCCAGTTCTCTAATCTGTCAAGGTCGTTTTGAAGTGTGATCCTGTCCTCTGGGGTGTTAGCCACCCCTCCCAATTTGGTGTCATCTGCAAATTTGATCAGGATGCCCTTGAGTCCATCATCCAAGTCGTTGATAAAGATGTTGAATAAGACCGGGCCCAAGACAGAACTCTGTGGCACCCCACTAGTCACTCTTCTCCAGGATGAAGAGGAACCATTGATGAGCACCCTTTGGGTTCGGTCAGTCAGCCAGTTACAAATCCACTGAGTGGTAGCATAGTCAAGACCGCATTTTACCAGCTTCTTTACAAGAATATCATGGGGCACCTTGTCAAATGCCTTGCTGAAATCAAGGTAGGCTACATCCACTGCGTTCCCTTCATCTACCAGGCTTGTAATTGTGTCAAAAAACGAGATCAGGTTAGTCTGACATGACTTATTTTTCAGAAATCCATGCTGACTATTGGTGATCACAGCATTCCTTTCTAGGTGCTCACAGACTGTTTGCTTAATGATCTGCTCCAGAATCTTCCCTGGTATTGATGTCAGACTGACTGGGCGGTAATTATTTGGGTCCTCTCTTTTCGCCTTTTTGAAAATAGGGACAACATTTGCCCTCCTCTAGTCTGCCGGGACTTCGCCTGTTCTCCAGGAATTCTCAAAGATGACTGCCAGTGGTTCTGAGATCACATCTGCCAGTTCTTTTAATACTCTTGGATGCAGTTCATCTGGCCCTGGAGACTTGAATACATCTAGACTAGCCAAGTATTCTTGTACTATCTCCTTAGTTATTCTGGGCTGTGTTTCCTCTGCTGAATCATTTGCTCCAAATTCTTCAGGTCGGGCATTGTTTTCTTTATCGGAGAAGACTGAGGCAAAGAAGGCATTGAGGAGTTCAGCCCTTTCTGTGTCCCCTGTTTGCATTTCACCATCTTCTCCTCTGAGTGACCCCACTGTTTCTTTGTTCTTCCTTTTGCTACGAACATACCCATAAAAGCCTTTTTGTTGCTTTTAACCTCTCTAGCAAGCCTGAGTTCATTCTGTGCTTTAGCTTTTCTGACTTTGTGTCTACACGTGCTGGCTATTTGTTTGAATTCCTCTTTGGTGGTTTCACCCCTTTTCCATTTTTTTGTACACATCCTTTTTAATCTTAACTCAGTTAAAAGTTCTTTAGATAGCCACCCTGGCTTCTTTAGGCACCTTCCATGTTTCCGTCTCATTGGTATTGCCTGAAGTTGTGCTTTTACTATCTCCCTCTTAACAAACTCCCAGCCATCATGAACTCCCTTTCCTTTTAGTATTACTGTCCATGGGATCTCACCCAGCACTTCCCTAAGTTTTCTTAAAGTCAAGAAATTGAGTCCTAGTATGCTTGGCTGCTCCTTTCCACTGTATAGTAAACTTCAGAAGAGCATGATCACTCGCGCCTAATGATCCTTCCACTTCTACCCCACTAACCAGGTCATCAACATTGGTTAGGACCAGATCTAAAATGGCTGTACCTCTTGTTGCTTCTCCCAATTTCTGGACAATGAAGTTGTCTGCAAGGCCAGTGAGGAATCTGTTTGACCTTATGCTCTTGGCTGAGTTTGACATCCAACAAATATCCGGGTAATTGAAGTCCCCCATTACTACTATCTCCCTTCCTTTTGCATGCTTGGCCATCTGTTCCAGGAAGGCATCATCTATGTCCTCCGTTTGGCTTGGGGATCTATAGTAAACTCCCACAATGAGGTCACTGTTATTCTTCTCTCCTTAATTTTGACCCAAATGCTCTCACTTTGGCTTTGAGGTTCTAAATCTTGGATCTCTTCACAGGTATACACATCCCTGACATATAACGCCACTCCTCCTCCTTTCTTGTCTGGTCTGTTTCTCTGAAATAGATTGTATCCCTCCATTATTACATTCCAATCGTGGGACTTATCCCACCAGGTTTCAGTGATGCCTATTATGTCATATTTAGTTTGCTGTACCAAGAGCTCAAGCTCATCTTGTTTATTTCCCATGCTTTGCGCATTAGTGTACAGACATTGAAGTCCATTAATCATTCCCCCGTGACTCTTATTTAAAGATTTATTCCTCCCACCACTAGGTCTGCGTGCTGTTTGCTCCATTTGGTCTATGACATTTGGATGATCATCTTCTGTTGATGCAGCCTAGAGTAGCATTGCCTTTTTTGCTGCTTCATGGAGCAGGTCTGTCCATGGTTACTAGCCATGCTGGCTATGCTCTGCCCCCACAGTCAGAGACAGTAATTTCTCTGAATCCTAGTTGCTGTAAACCGTGGGTAGGCAAACTAAGGCCCAGGGACCGGATTCAACCCAATCGCCTTCTAAATCTGACCCGCAGACAGTCCAGGAATCAGCATGTTTTTACATGAGTAGAATGTGTGCTTTTATTTAAAATGCATCTCTGGGTGATTTGTGGGGCATAGGAATTCATTCACCCCCCCAAAAAATATATATAGTCCGGCCCCCCACAAGGTCTGAGGCCCCCTGCTGAAAAAGGTTGCTGACCCTGCTGTAAACCATAGGGAGGAAGAGAGGTCTTGGGCTCAGGTCCTGCTCACAGGTTTCCCACAAGCACCTGGGTGTCTGAACTGGATGGGCTGCCTCTGGCCAGATCCAGCAGGTTCTTATGTATAAATAAATGCAGTCCATACTCTGGGTTTTATTCAAAGTAGTGCTAAATAATTTGATCCATTAGCACATGCATTTACCACAGATCAACAGGATGTCTCCCTTGGTGCCCCCTAAATCTGGGGCTTTCCCAACCATCCAGAACAGATTTGGGGAGGGCATTGAGCACCATCAGGGGGAGGAGGTTCCATTGTGCAAGCTTACATCCTTGCATTAACAAGTTCCTTGAATGCTACCCATGATCTATACATAGATAAATAATAGGATAGACTCTTAGCTAGGGTTTTTGATTTGGTCTCTGTGCATATATGCATGTGTGAGGTCTTCTTCCATGCATCCCTCTCTTGACAAAATAAGGCAGGCATGTCATTTGTTACGTAGGGAGCAGGGAATCATCTGGAGAGCAGTGACTGCAAAAATGCCATCAGTTTGGAACAGCTTTAAGTGGCTGGTTCATTTTTTTCATAGGCAATTAATGAATTCACTGATTAATCATGCCAGTTAATGAATGCTTTCAGCCCTAACCCAGATGTCTGTTTGTTTGAGGGCACAGGCTGATGCAGAAAATCCATTTCAGAAGTATAGGTCGAAAAATTATGTGCACACACCCACACCCCTACCTGTGTAATTAATGCTAAGTGTGCATCTAAGATCATGGCTGAAGGCCACTGTGGGGAAAGTCCCTCCAAACCGCTGCCCCTCCCCCCAGTGACATTGCTATTGCTCATGCTTCTGATTTTTGTCTGGGCAGCCCAGGACCTCCATACACACTGCCCAGGCTTGTGCCTGAAGAGGTTGCTTTGGTGCTGCTAATGCGGCATTCGGCTTCACCTGCGGAGACATACTCCATTGTCTCTCAAGGCAGACAGATACAAGCAACAACATTTGGGGCGGTGGGGGGTGGATTGAGGCATGCCGTAGCTAGGAATCCAGTCGGGTTGCTAGGTGAGGGGCAGCTGTCCTAGGTGCCTGCCCCAGTTTTCCTTTTTTTAAAAAAAATATGGTAGCTTAGGTTTGAGATTGATGTGGCATTCCATTTGGGGTAGGGTGGAGCAGGTGCGGGGGGCAGAGAGTTGTTGAGAGACAACTTTCTCTACAGTTTGATTGGCCTTCAGAACTACAAGCGATTAAATAATTGTCCCTCTTCTGCTTTCCACGTTCCACCTGTCAGAGGTGAGCAGCAGTGATGGAGTGTTAGATTAACGCCTTCAATTTGGTTCAATCTCTCTGGCATGATGAGCACTGTTATTAAAGCTCTTACTTATAAATGGAAAGATGGGTGCAGTTAATAAATGATCTGAGGCTGGTAATTTAGCACTGATTGGTGTGTTTGCATGTCAGACAGGCTGCGCTTCCTCTCACCACCACCCAACCATTAACACGGCTTCATGTACAACACTTTGT